CGGGAAGAGATTTTAACCGGATCTAGTTGAGTATATAAGTCGGCTCAAAATCTTAAATTTAACATTTTCTACACCCTATTCCCTGAATTATAAGTGCTTATTCAGTGTACCGCTTGGGTAGTATCTTCCTCATTTTTCAAAACTATTAACTGATATTCTCTTGATCCGAATGACGTAGTGAATGAAAGTGGGCGATTCGATGGGTTTTAGTGGTGGCTTCGAACTGACTATGGCCTAGTTTTATGGGTGTCCCTACTCGATGTTTACGAGGAAGCTTTGGGGTCACATGAACTCGCACTGAATAACCCCATAAATGCATTTTATCCGTCAATTTTTCCAATCTTGCTCACAATAAGCTACAACCGATTTTAATCCTTTTAGTTCATAAATCAAACCATGGCCGAAGTTATTGAGCGCATGAAAAAGAAAACGTTGGTAAAGCCAATAGTTTACGGGAATACTGCAACTCCGCTCCTGCAAAAACGGGATTCTGACCAGCACACACATCAGTGGACTGTTTTTCTCAAGTTTGTTATGAATCCGATTTTCTCACTCAACTCTGTCATTTGCAGACCCTACTTGGCAGAAGATCCAACAAAGTGGATTCGAAAAGTGCAGTTCAAGTTGCACGAGAGTTATGCCAACCAAACTAGAAGTACGTTTTCAATATATGCAACAAATAGATCAATTTGAATTTCAGTCATTGAAACCCCACCGTACGAAGTCACAGAGACCGGATGGGGAGAGTTCGAAATACAGATTCGCATCTACTTCGTAGACAACAACGAGAAACCGATATCGGTTTTCCATTATCTCCGTCTTTTCCAACCTGTGGCCGAACTTCCATCCGGAAAATCGGTGGTTTGCACAGAGTTCTACGATGAAATCGTGAGTCATATTAGCAAAGGCAGTATTCATAAGTTTTTCACAGATATTCCAAGAGCCTACGGTTCAGATGTACAGAGCTCTTCAGGCAGGAGATGGCAAAAGACCAGATAAGCAAGCATTCCTGAATGACAGTAAGTTCAAAACAACCTGAAAGTTGCGACCTTTTTTTAAAACACTCTTTTGCAGTCGAGCATATCAAGAATCGAACCCGTGAGCTTGGCGAGGTTGCACAAAAGGAGATCGCAGCGGAAATCGAAGATCTTCGCGAATCACTGAAAGAAGCTCACAAACTGATTGTGAAGTATGCCAACGAGTGCAACGAGCAAGAATAACCAAATTCACATTGATCTCATTTAAACCCCATTTTTATCGTTTCTTGTAATATTTCGAATACTTTGATAAACCATTTATTTTTAATTTGAAAAAAAATCTGAAAAATTGAATACAGTACCGACCTGTAATATTTCAAATCGGCAAGAAATAAAAGAAATATTTAGGAACTTTTCCGTTGTTGCTGAAATTTTGTCTGAATATCGAGATCTTATCCCCAATGAAACGCCTATATTTGCAATTACCGCACGCAACTTTTGCGAAAAATTTTGTGCGGTATCGTTCCTCCCGACTCTGTTTAGTTTACTTCCAATCACAATTTGAATTTCAATTTGTCTTGAATGTACGAGAGCCCGCAAATTCTGGATAGAAATGTTCCGGGGAAAAATAGGCGGATAAGGCTCTGCCCACTTTTCCCCGGAAAATTTTCTTTCCGGAATTTGCGGGATCTCTCGTGGTTTTGTGCGCCTCGATTAGTATGCTACCGTAATACCCAACATTTAGATCAAGTTGAATTATAAACTTTTATACTTGTCAACTGCTCCTCTAAAATCCTTGATTCATATTGTCACTAGTTTTCACCCATTTCTTCTTTTTTTTCATTATTGATCGACACGTCATTGTGACGTCATAGAGTGTTCCTATTTCGAAGAGATGCAGATATTCTGCTAGAATTTTCACATAATAGTATTGCGATTTCATAGACCCAGAAATTTTAGATTTGTTCTACGACGATAACGAGAGACTTAGAGTGCGCGACCTATGCCCGCGGTTAAAGACATAAATAAATAGCATATGAAATCTAGAGAGCGTAGACGAGAGAGCATTGCGATTCGGGAGTATCAGAGAAACGCGACGTGTCGCGAAATTTTCCCAATTCAAGAAATTCCAGACTCTTCACCTTCTGATATCATATCGCTTCTTCTTGTTATATCTGTGCCCAGTTTTAAAGGCCCGTTTTCAAAACCTACCGTAACCCACCCAATTTTTGAATTTAGGATTTTAATCGGAAATTTTGATTGATTCTGCTTAAGGGTCCCAAACACCTTTCAAACTTATCAAAAAGGTCTAAAAATTTCGAACGATGAAGTCCAAATCATCACTTTTTGTTCGGTTACCGTATTGAAAAGTACTGCTTATTCAAATGTCATACTGAAAGTCTACAAAAGTAGAAGAAATGCATTTTCGGTTTTTTGATGACTTTCTCTATTGTCGAATTGAAAAAAGTGGTACCTGGAAAATTTCGCGGCCGGCTTCCCGGTCAATTTTCGAGGCCTTGCCCCAGAAACACTACGGTAGTAAACTAAACTTATTTCTGTGAATTTAGTGGGATTTTCTGAACAAAATTTACGTTTCTTGGTATGAAAATGATCGCTAGCATCTCTAGAATCTGTTTTTCATCGAAAAACCGAACTTAATTGCGAAAGTAGCTCGAACGAGGCGAAAATCTGAAATATTACGTTTTTGCCGCACTTTTTCGTAGATCAAAAAAAGCTACGCCTTTCAAATTGTCAGGTCCCACTTTTTTTAATTCAACAATATTTAGCACGCTGTGTCAGGAAGCCTGGTCGAAAAACGCGCCCCAGCGAACCCCAGAATCTCGCTGAATTCGCTGCCGAGTCTCGCTGGCTGAGGATCAAAGTTTTAAACGATGAGCGAAAAAAAGCGCGCATTGATTTGATCTATTGATAATAAATATATCAAATCTGCGCCCACTTCAAAATTATAAAATTTCTTCTGGCCTACGAGTTCGTGCAATAGTGACATTTTCGTTCAGAAGTTTTTATAGTGTCGAGTCGGCGCCTTTTTTGCAACTTTGCCGCACGGTTTTTCTTTTGTTCTATTTGTTTGCTACCGGCTATGATTCAACTATTTTTCTTTTTTCAGAGAACACTTTCTCAGGGTATAATTTATTGTTCTTACTCTTTTTTCATTTCGAATAGTATTCTTATATTTTTTCTCTATCAATAGTAATTCTTTCAAGATTCGTACATTCTAAAAAATCAGAAGAATTTTTCTATTATTAATTGATTATGGGGGAGACATAATCTTGTCTTCTTCCTAAGCAGATCAATATCTCCATATCAAGACGCACTGAATAAAGAATAATAGGAGTTTCAATAGAAAGTGAAAAAACGTAATCCATCTCCGCTTGAACAAAGTGTATTCTTCAGGAAAGTTTTGTATAAAGAGTTTGTAGTTTTCTCCTACCATTTAAGTATGAGTTTAAAGAGTTAGACAAATATTTTCTTCAGATCTTTTCAAATGTTTGATTTCCCTCGCATTTTTTTCTTTCTCAAAGAATCTTCCTACGATCGTCCAAGCATAATGATCTTCCCTTCTAACTTATTCCCATGATTACTATAGATAAATTGAACCCGGATCCGCTTTTGATTGTTTTCAATCTCCTCTAGTAATATACATTTGGCTCTACATGTGTCTGACCATGATAACGTATGCAGATGTGTTGAAACGAAAAAGTTGGAATACCGTATTCCTCCCTACATCATTCGCACTCATTCTCATTCTCAATCATTGAGACATACACAGCCTTTTTAGACGAGCCTTCTAGTTTTTCTAGCTCATTCTACGAATTTCACTATACCAAGAAGTATTGTAGTTATTGGAATTGAGTGAACTATTCTTCATCTTGTAGTTTGATGTTCTAGCGTAGTTCTAAAGCCCAGACTTTTTTGGGTTCCCCTAGGAGCTCATTAGGATTTTCAAGCTCTCCTGCTATGACGAGTCAAATTCATGATGATGATGAATCCAGTCGTCGCCACGCACGCTACACTCACAAACGCTCAATCATGCGCTCACAGAACGCTCACACGCTCACGATATACACACATTATTTCGCCTCACACACCGCACTGCCGCCATCCGCACCGCCCGGGTGGCCCCCGTACAAAGTTTGAGTTTAGGTTTTCGAGCTTTCCCATATTTAGCTCCGCCCCCTTTTTCTCAAAGTTTCAAGCCTTCTACAGTAATCTTGTGGAAAGTACCGAACATTGGTTCAGAAATGACTCGAGACTGTAGCTTTTCTCCATGATTCCACTCTTGTTAGAATAGTCTGAAAAGGGAACTCTAGATGAAAGAACCACTGCCAGGAATAAACCCTTAGTTCTCACTCCAAGGCTGCTCTAGACATAATTTTCGAAACCAATCCACTTCAAGGTATTCCAGTTAGTTTAACTTTTTAACTTTACTCTAACCCAACGTGGCACCCATTTTTTCGGCGACCGAAGTATGTCCCTGTCGACGCTCCCAACGCGGAATACCAGGACAGACCGATGAGAGAGTACTGCCCGTGAAGAGAGTTAGACAGTCGAGACAAGTGCTGCTCACCCTTCTTCTCAGCGTCAGCGGCGGCGACCAGCGGCCGAGGAAGGGGAGGGGCGGCCGATTTGGCTGCGTACCACGTTTGATACTCAGCCTACTCTACCACAGCTGGACGTTTCGCGCGTTCAAATCTGGCTTGCCGCGCGCGCTTTTTTGTAGGCATGTTTTGTCCCGATTTATCATGCATCTTTGACTGTAACTGCTGCAAGACTTCAAGTTGCCTTCTAAATCATTCAAAATTATTTAGTTTCAATTTTCAGGATGGTGACTTCAGACGAAACTGTTCTAGCCACGACGACTAACAAGACGTCCATAACAACTGAACCGATGGAGCCAAAGAGTAGCGATGAATCTACAGATTCTGAAACTGACAAGATCAAGGTGAGTCTCACGTTCAGATGACATGTGACTATAGTCCATTCTTCCAGATACTCAAAGCTGAACAACGAGAAGCTCTCACCGAAGCGACTGGCAGTGTCGAAGTCAACGGAAATGAAGAAAACGGACATGTAGAGTGTGCTACCGTAGACGAAGTTGCTCATGTCGAAGAAGATAAAGTGGAAGAGGCAACAAACTCAGTTGTCGATCTGTCATCAAATGGAAGTTCAGCAACGACTTCTGTTCCCGTAGAAGAACAGGAGGAGAAAGCAAACGAAGATGAAACAAATGACGTTGTCATGGAAACATCTGAAAATGGAGAAAATGGCAAAGAAGAAAATGGAACGGCAATGGAAGTTGCAGAAAATCCAGCAGTTACTGAAAATGGTAGCAAGTCTGATGGAGAAACCGAAACTGGTGAGTAAATGACACCGTCTACCCATCTCTTTTCCGTCAAATTCTTATAAGGTTCTCATGTATATAGTTCTTCCAAAAGCGGGTGCTATAATATCTACTGACCTTGAAGACGCTTGACAAAACCTTTCTTCAATTTTTTCGATGAAAACTTACTTGATACTTGAAAGATCAGGGCCCGGTTTTTCCACATCTGGAAAATTAAAATTTTAGAAAGTTTTGCTAAAATTTTTTGGTAATGAGACGCTAATCTTGAGAAGTTCCTTATTTGACTGAAAATTAGTTTTTTTTCTATGGCCCGGAAATTTTTTTTGAAAAGACTGGAAAAAATACTGAAACCCTCTTTTTGAGTTGATAAAATCCCTCACATTGTTGCTGGGAAAACATTATCTTAGTTTTTGAGTTATTTTAACGCTCTTACCGTTTGGGCGAGTAGGGTTATTTGAAAAAAAACGGTTCGAGAATTGTTACGGATCTCTGTTTCCTTAAGTTATATTTTTTAGACAGAGTGGCGATCAAAGATAGTCAGGAAGATGATTCTGAACCGGTAAATGGAAGCGTGAAGCCGGAAGAAAAGGAAGAAAAGAATGATACGGATGCTCCAATGGAGGAAGAAGATCAAAACGGGAAAGGAGTGAAGAGACCAGTTGAATGTATTCAACTCGATGACGACGATGATGATATTCAAGAAGTATCCCCTCCTGTTCCTGCCAAGAAACAGAAAACAGAAGAAACAAAACAAGAGCCAAAACAAGAAGCAAAAGCAGAGCCAGCAGATGACAATGAACAAGCTCAAATTAGACTTCTCGATAAACTTCAAGAATATGTTGGAGATCAGCGAGGACAACCATGCAACAAAACGCGGAAGGTATTGGATACTTTACTCGGAGCCATCAACGCACAGGTTCAGAAAGAACCACTTTCTGTCCGTAAACTTATACTTGACAAAGTCTTAGTTCTACCGAACACTATTTCGTTCCCACCTAGTCAAGTGTGTGATCTTCTCATTGAACACGATCCAGAAATGCCACTTGCCAAGGTTATCAACAGGATGTTTGGGGAAGAAAGACCGAAACTAAGCGATTCGGAGAAGCGAGAACGTCAACAAATGAAGCAGCACAACCCTGTATCTCATATGACTAAACTATTGGTGGATATTGGTCAAGATCTTGTCCAAGAAACAACGTACTGTGACATAGTACACGCCAAAAATTTGCCAGAAATTCCGAAGAACATTGAGACGTACAAGCAAGTTGCTGCTCAATTGAAACCTGTCTGGGAGACGTTGAAGCGGAAGAATGAACCATACAAACTCAAAATGTCCCGATGTGGAGTATGTGGATTCCAAACTGAATCTAAATTGGCTATGGCTGCTCATAAAGAGACACTTCATTTCACTGGATCAAAGTTCCAGTGCACACTTTGCAAAGAAACGGATACCAACGAACAAAGAATGAAAGAGCATTACTTGTGAGTTTCAGTTTTTGCTTATTTTTTCTAATGTGTTCCTTATTTCAGTGAGGCTCATCTTATCATCGCTAAATCCGAGGAGAAAGAATCCAAGTATCCATGCGCCATCTGTGAAGAAGACTTCAACTTCAAAGGAGTGCGTGAGCAACATTACAAGCAATGCAAAAAAGACTACATTCGGATTCGCAACATCATGATGCCAAAGCAAGAAGATCATCTTTACTTGAACCGGTGGCTCTGGGAAAGACCTCCAGTGGATCCCAGCATTATTCAACAACAGCAAGCGGCTGCACTTCAGCAAGCTGAGCAGAAGAAGCGGCACCAACAAGCTCTTCTCAGAGAGCAGCATGCGCAGGCTCAAGCTGCACAACTCCTCCGTAAACAGCAGTTGCAGCAACAGCAGCAAGCTCAAAGACTTCGGGAACAACAAGCACAGGCACAATATCGCCAGATGGCCCAATTGATTCAACAGCAACAACAGCAGCAAAATCGTAACAATGCTAATAATATGAGCAACAGTTTGATTCAAGGTAATTTGTCGTTAAGTGTTAACATATTCAACTGATTTTGCATTTTCAGCAATGCAAGCTCAGCTCCGTCGAAGTGGAACAGGAACAAGTCCCCAAAATTTGAATCTTCTCCAAAAACAAATGGCGGCTGTTCTCAAAAATCAAAATCCTGCCCAAATTCAAGCTCTCGTGGCTTCAATGAATAAGCAAACTCAATCTCCAAAGACGCCAACTACGCCGAAAGTGGCGAAAGCTGCAGCAACACCAACACTTCCGCTGGCAATGTCAGCTTCTTCATCATCACCAGGAGTCTCATTCCAATGCGAGATATGTGATCAAACAGTCCACGAAAAAGATAAATATTTGTCGCATCTCCAGGTAATTTCATTTTCTTTAAAAACAACTACTTACGTGATGGTTTTTTCCAGGTTCTCCACAAGCAGATGGTCGGCAAGACACTTCAAGATATGACGCAGGGTGCTCCATTAGCATGCTCTCGTTGTCGAGACCGCTTCTGGACTTACGAAGGACTTGAAAGACATCTTGTTATGTCACACGGACTCGTCACTGCTGATCTACTTTTGAAAGCACAGAAGAAAGAAGACGGCGGACGATGCAAAACTTGTGGAAAGCAATACGCATTCAACATGCTTCAACATCTTGTTGCGGACCATCAAGTCAAACTTTGCTCTGCCGAGATAATGTATTCATGTGATGTGTGCGCCTTCAAGTGTTCCAGTTATCAAACTCTTGAAGCTCATCTATCATCAACTCATCCGAAATCTGCTGATAAAAAAAAAGAAGAGCTTATCACGTTGGATGACTAGTTACTAGGAACCAAAATCGTTAATTTATTGACAAGAGCCTGTTGAAAATCTATCTCGACGATCTCCATCTTCATTCTTTTTTAAATATTGTCATCAAGCCTGCTCCCCTACTATTTCTATGAATATTCACAGTCTAATGCGGGTCTTGAATCAAAAACCATCAGTAATTCCCTCCTTCTCCTATCATAACTTTTTCTGTCTCTTCTGGTTCTTTTTTTGCACTTCCTACCTAAACAACTTCTTATCAATTGTTCTTCTTGAATGCTAACATTTTCTATCAAATTTGTCATGTAAGCCCGAACCTAAGTAACGAGAAATTTAAAGCAATTGCACAGATCCCACCCGTATCAGTATCCTTCTCTCTCTATTCTGTCTCCGCCACTGTTATTTCAAATCTCACACTTCCTCTCTTAAATAATGGTTAATTTCAATCTATGGTGTTAAGAAAATGAAACTCCGATATAAACATCTTTGTGGAATACAGTTCTAGACTATTTCTGCTGAAAATGAAACATTTTCGATTTATAAATAGAGGTTTAAACATTCTGTACATATTTCGGAAACAGCGATTCGAAAGAAAATAAATTCAACAAGTTTAGAAAGAAATATGCCGAAAAGCGCTCATCTCTATGCAGCTGTTATCACTGGTTTTGAGAAAGTTGCCTCGAGAGAGATTTCTGAGAAACTTCCAGCCACCGAATGTATCTCTGGACGTGGAAACGTCAGATTCTGTCTTGACCTGAATAGTGTTCCTGATATTCTAAAATTACGATCGATTGACAATCTGTATGTCGTGTTCTATGAAAATGAACTAGTCGGATTAACTGATATGGAAAAAGAGGAAGCGTTAAGAACAATTCAAGAACAAATTTCCTACTGTAACTGGAAATTAGCAATCGACGTGTATCAATTAGTACGAGAAACGAACATATACGGAGGAAGTGACCGAGTTGTAGATCAGATGAGAGAGTTCATGAGAGAAGGAAAACGATGTGAAGTTACAGAAAACTCGCCGAAGTTCCGGTTGGTTCTCTCTGAAAACCTAAAGCTTTCAATCGCCGATTTTTCAGAGTTACGTGCAAACGGTGTGGAGAAAAAGAGATTCATGCATTCAGCTCCATGGATGCTGCTTCGAAATTCGGTGCTGAAATAAACAACGCTCTTGGCTGGAAGTGCAGTGTTAAGGAATTCGATATTGAAGTTATGTTGAGAATTGAAAAAGATAATGTTAGTTGGAAGCCACGTCACGAAATTTGAAATCATCTTCCAGATGACCGTTATGATGGCACTAAACGACGAATCACTTTTCAAGCGGAATATTTGTGCTTATGGACCAACGACAATGCGATCCACCGTGTGTTACTGTATGCTCCATCTGGCAAATATCAAACCAGGAGACGTAGTCATGGATTCCATGTGTGGTGGTGGATCTATTCCGATTGAAGGAGCATTGGCGTGGGAGAATGCGTTCTTTTTAGGCGGAGATAATCACAAGTTGGCAATGGAAAGATGCAAAAAGAACTGGGTACAGATGGTTCTAGAACTAAAATATATTCGTATGCAAACCTAGCAGATTTTACCGTAAAACATGTAATAGAAGAGCCCTCTCAATTTTTACTTTGAGCCAATTTATCTCGGCAGCTGTCAAAGATATAAAAAAGTAGTTGATGAAATGATTCTCTTAATATCAAAAGTATTTTATCAGTTGTCTTGATATCTTGCATAGGAAAAGAGGGAATTGGGCTCAAAGATGACAATGTGGGGACCCTTTTATTACAGATTCATCAGTAGTGTGAATACCAGAAAAGCTAAAAATAAAATTTTCAGTCATCCAACTCATCGTCCACAAAATCGATCTGCGAGTTCTTCAACTGGGATGCCACTAACCTTCCACTTCGTGACAATTGCATCGATGCTCTTGTGACCGATCTACCGTAATCCATTTCAAAACTTCCATTTCTATCAACCATTTTTTTAGATTTGGAAAGAAAATCGGATTGAAAACGGACAACCGATTACTGTACCCTATTCTTCTGAATGAATGGAAAAGAGTTTTACGAAAAGGTGGACGATTGGTGGTGATGAGTCATGATAAGAGAAGTTTAGGTAGGTAATAGGTTTAGAGAGGCACCATTTTGATTTAAGATTTTCAGAAAAGGCAATTCTGGCAGACCGTTCATCATGGCATATCAAAGCTAATCATATCGTTAACATGGGCGGATTACAGTGTCTTTGTCTTTGTCTGATAAATACACAAAGTTGATTGTTGTTCCTTGGTGTCTTTTATAAAATGTTAATTTTAATATAATTTAAATTTCAAATCTGATTTCATTGGCGGGTTTTACAAAAAGGCACACGGTTTCAAAGTGAACATGATCAAATAAAGGTACCAGTTTTCAGAATGCAAATGGTGGGGTAGCTAATAAAAAAGAATAAACTAAACTCGATGGACGAAATGTAAAGATTTTTTGTTGTTATTATTATTATTGTTGGTTTTTTCGATTTCTGGGAGCTGAGCAAAGTGGAAAATCACCTGAAATCCAACGAAATAAAAACGGTTTTTTTAGAAATTTCCTTACTTCACTAGCATTAACTGCTTTCAAAACCTCCCCATTGCATCGAACAGTTTTAGCTTTTGGAGGGATTGGTTGGAAGAATATGGAACTTTGAGTTGGTACACAAACTGCACGAGTTATGCGATCACATTCTGATTTCTGAAATTCATCCAGTGTTTTGGATTCGTAATTCTGAATTCATTATTCTGCTACAAAAAATCGGATCTGTGGAAGAGGTTGCCAAAGGTCCGACAGCTAAGTTAAAAGTGTTTTTACTACGTTTCTTCTATTTTTTTTTAAATTTTTCCAGTCGGAAATTGAAACTTCTGATAGTGAAAAAACTGACTGAAAATTGACGCAAATCGAGAAATTAAATTCGGGGAATAAAAATATCCTTAGGTTACGGTAGCTGCCCCTGTGGGACCTACGGCTCCGATTTTCTGCACCAAAATAATAGTCTAAATATTTTTACCTCGATATCAGAACAATGTTGAATGAGATACGGTTTCCCAGAAGATAGACATGGAGATGATTCTACTATTTCGTAGAAAGCGTTTAGTTCAGCTAACTGAAAAAAGTATGTCCAATTAAATTCCGTATTCAAAAAGTCAAAAATTACCTGTTTTTTGTTATGTTTCCACCTTCGAAACCTATAGACACAGAATATTGTTGTGATTAATAGTGCAACTAGAATAACTGGAAGTAGAGCAATGAGGGAATAGTCTGAAAATGTGATGTTGATTTTTTGAACTTTTTAAGATCTTGAGATGGTCTTTCTCTGCGTTTTCCAACAGAATACCTGAAACAACATGAAGACGTCCATCATTGATGACGAAATCGCGATGCGATGTTTGAAATTTTCGGACGTCGAAGAAATCCATTAGTGTGATTCGACGAGCTGTCGAATTGGAGGAAGAATGGGAAGAAGAGGAGGAAGATAGATTAGAAAGCGATGAAACTGTGGGCTCATCGCCTTCTTCCTGTTGACCGGTGACTTTCTAGAGAAAATACAACATTTGAGGGGGAAGATGAAAATTGAGAGGCAAGGATTACTATAGCCGTGTTTAAAAATACAATTTCTGTGATTGTGATTTTACAAGTTGTTCAGTATCTCTGCTAAAATTATATATTTTTTAATTGCACTTGCAGTCATGTTAGGAATCTTCGAAGCTTGTTTTTGAAATTCGAAATAATTTTCAGTCAATGCCAATGCTACCATATTTGCGAACCGGTACCTGGCGGAACAAAGAACAAAGTTACAGACAAAACAAAAAACAGGTGCGACCTGGCCCGGAGCAGCCACTTTATGGCATGTAACTTTGTTCATAGAAAAGATACAGTATTCCAAATAGTATCATTTTGTAGGACTTGCCGAGTGCTATCATATCTAATTTAGTTTGATCAAAAATATTCATTCTAAAATAAATTAAAAAGGGGACCCGTTGACAAGTATGAATGTTATAGATTACCTATTAATGCTTAATTCGCCCAACTAAATTTTTAATCATTTTTGATTAGAACAGTATAAGTAGAAGTATCTTGTAGTAATGTGTCAATTGCCGTTTTTTTTGTTTTTTGGAGCAAAAAACCCTAGGCGACAGGATGAGATATCATATTTCTAACCAAATAGCTGCCAAGAGAACAAGAGACAGATAATTTTTAGAATATTTATGAGGTGTCGAAAAAGTGGGTGCTCTGTTTCAAAGGGTTTGGAACAGGGATTTTCAGTTAGAGATGAATTTAGTAACTTTTGAAAAGTACATTTCAAGAAAATAAGGACAAAGTTGGACATCTGGTTTCACATTCACCGGAAGTACGGTCTAATTGAAGCCCACCGAAAACTTTGCACTCTATTATCTCGATTCCTGTAAGAGATATCGAAATCTTGTAAACTGTAAAATTATTCATCATAATATTTCCAATATTTCATTAGATAATCACTTTTTGATATCTTTCACAGAAACCGAGATAATTGAGCTCAATGTTGACGATTTGGGTGGGGCTCTGTAGAGCAAATATCGCTACTGAAATTGGTCCAAGACTTACTTCATCCAGAAAACTCTCGTATGGATATGGATGATAAACAGTAAAAATATTGGAAAGTGTGTTCATTTTAAACATAGAATTCTATTAACTTTTCTCACATTGTTTTGCCCATCGGCGAAAAACTTATTATTTAGAGACATGAACTTCAAAAAGAGACGCCAGACAATATGGAAAGGGAGGGGGTGAAACGTCCCTTTGGGTAATTATTCTTAGAAGATGAGAAAATGAATTTGAGAGAAAAAAGACAAAAAGAAAGGAAAACACAGAGAAAACAATGATAATGAAGGAGCACCTAAAAGGGCCCAAAATGTAGGCGAAGGCATTCTTTGACGTCAGATTAGTAGTCTTTTTTTGGGTATGGGAAAATAATAAGAATAGAATATGGGAATACGAAGAAGAATAAGGAAACGTTGATATCAGAAATAGAAGAAGGTCGTTTGGGTTTCTCTACTCAGCACAAAAACGAACCACAACGAATTCGTCCATTTTCCTTTTTCTTTTCGGAAAGGCAGCTGCTTTCTGGTGTTGAGAAAACCCCAGAAGAAGACGAATGGAACACGACGATTTATGGGAATGGGTTTGAATGGGATGGAAAAAACGGAAATGAGGAGAAGAGGGCGGATTAGAACACAAAGAAAAGAAGGAAGAGAAAACCCTCTGAAAATTTATGAACTGTCTGAAGTGGTGGCTTTCAGAAAACCAAATTTAAGAGATGCGATAGAAGATTGCTGCAAATTTTGCAGAACAGAATGTCGAATTGCTCAGTTTTGGGTAATCTAAACACTGGATTGATCTGGGACAGAATAAATACCAGTTAAAAAGAAAATACTTGCGAGCGGGGAAGACTATCTGCTCCTACCAGAGATGCCCAGAATGACTTTTTTCAGAAACAAAATTCGGGATACGGAATCCGAGACAAAGAATAGCGCGGAATCCACAATACGGAACATAGAATCTGGAATTCGGACATCTCAAATTTGTAGAAAGATTACGGACGTTTCTGCCTTCTACCAAGGACTTAAATTGACAAGATTACTGTATATTTAATATCCCGGGACCAAACTACGCGACTTGAATTTCAAGTTTGAACTGAAGAGTAAATATGACTGATGACCTCATATTTAATTAGAGAGTTCCAGAACCCATAAAAATTTATGAAAGATAATAGTTATACTTAGGGGTTCACTGAGGGGGTTTGTTGAAACAGTTGAAATTAAAAAATTAAACCTTCTGAGCCTAGAAAACAACTAGAATAATTTTAAAAATGACTTGAAAAGGTCCCAAAACGGATTCTGGATGGCCTTGTTATAGTTTTTTTAGGATCAATATTTTTCATAAACTAAATACGATATATAGAGCTCAACGAGTTTTACAACATGATACGGAAAACCGTACCTTGTCTATAAACCAAATTATAGACTAAACGAGCAGGAAAAAAAGGAGGGGCAGCACGGATCCGCAGCTTGATGGCTTATAACATTGTTCATTGACAAGATGCAGTTTTCCAATTAATATTACATATTTTGCATTACTCGTCAAGTTCTATCATATCTAATTCAGCTGATCAAAAATACTGATCCTGAAGGAAACTATGACAGGTGTCCTTTTTTCAAGTATGCTAAAAACGTTAATCTCTTACCATGAAACATTTCCAGCATGATTCTAATACCGCACCACCCAAAACCATGGGTTCTTCGTTTGGTTTTGTGTCAAAAATGGAAGTTGCGGACTGGCATGAATGGGTATTTTTTGAAGAAAAGACTCTATTGGAATGGGAAACAAAAGCGTCCAGTTGTCCCCCTCTTTTTGACTCTCTAACGGGCCTTGACCCAAAAAAGGAATGCAATTTAGCAATTACTTTTTTAGAGTGGATTCAAATTATTTCATGGAAAACTCTTTTGGAAGATGAGAGGGCCACTTTCGAAAATTGGGAAAAATGGTGGGATGGAGTCAAACAGCGAATCAGTTCGGCAAAAACCTTTTCAAGAGCTGGAATCCTATTTTCAAAATTTTTAGTATTTTCTGGCCGCCCATTAAAAAAAAATAAAATATTACTATTTTTTAAAATCTTAATTAAAAGTACTGATCCGTTTTCTTTTGATGCCTATTTGTCCGTGAAGTTCCATGCACAGAAAAGAAAAGAAAAGTATCAGAAAGAAAGAAAATGTCAATTAATTTTTCAAACTCATCCGAGTGCCCATCTGCTCTTGGGGTCCGAAAAAACGGATGAAAAAAGTAGAATTTTGATTAAAAACACCTTCTAATGGAAATGGAACAAGAATGATGTTTGAGGAAAGGGAAAAGGAGAGAAAGACATGAAACGAACGGATACAAAAACGAACGGAGCACGAAATTTCGGAGGAGTGGGGGAACACGGAATGAGAGATTTTGTGTATTTATTTTTGAGTTTCCTGGTGTGGAGAAAATATTTCTGGAGTTATTCAGATTATTTTTCGAACAAAAAAAATAATAATTTGGCATCTTACTTATGTTATTCATCAAAACTGTCACCTGCGTGACTGCAGAATCAGTGTCAAATATCATAATATTCTGCCTTCTCCATTTTACTTTTGTGCCAATTTATCACAGTTCCTGATATAAAAAAGCTGTCATGATATAAAAAAAGATTTTTTATCAGAATATCAAAAGGGTTTTGTCAGTTTACACTTTTTGATAGCATGTATAGGAATTGAGATAATTGAGATCAAAGTTGACAGCTTTTTTGTGACAGTGCGGGGACCCCTTCTATTAGAGGTTTTCCAGTATTTGGAAATTTTCATTACAAATAAATAAGATCTCAACTGGGAAAATCAAAAGTGTCCTATGGAAATACATATCTGAAATAAAAGATCGAACACTTACGACAATTTTGCTGATGACCATTTTGTTTCTAGTGTTAATTCAAATTTTAGCTCGAATAGTATTTCAATGTGCCTCTATAAAAAATGCCACAGACAGAAAATTTTGAGTATTTGAAAAGAAGAAAAGAAATGGAGAGTCGACAACTCTCTAACAAGTGTTTTTTTTTTTCCTCGTTTTCGGATCTCGCGCTTCATTAGTTTAGAGGTTTTCAACCGAGCTTTTTGGGGTTTTAGGTGAACAACATTGCTTCTTTAAAAGCGGAAAATCTGGTGGAATTCCAAGCGGAGACATTTGAAACTAGAGAAAAATGAAAATGGATACATAAGGATTTACAGAAAATTAAATCAAAAGATTCGGTTTTTGGAGAATGATTCGGAAAAAAGAGAGAACATTTTCAGCAAATCATGGGAATTTTAGAGGAGATCGGAAAACAAAACAATTTTTTAAATTGAAAATCATAATGAGGAAGTTCTTAAAAAATTTTCAAAGCCAAAGAGAAAAATAAACATATTTCTTCTTTGGAATTCCTGAAACGTTTGATCGGTTAACTTCTTCAAGCTCAATTATACTTTCGAAAATATCATAAAGGCGTCAATTGATACAATGCTGGTGATATTATGATAAACAATTTATCCGTTGACAACTTGGGAAAATTCGGTTATACCCCACCACCTGGAATAACCCCCCCCCCCCCCCCCCACCCAGTTGAAAAATGGGGGTCATAAAGGTGGGGGCTCAAAATGACATGAACTTTCCCGCCTTAATGTGGCTGCGTACGTTTACTACTCAGCCAAGTAAAAACAATATTATAGCCCCCCACTCGAGGTGGGGTGTCATACTGGAATGATGGGGGTCTTTATTGGAATCTTTTTGACTTCCGCCCGTTTTTGCCTAAGCCTATTTTTCAGTTGATGAGGGTGGGTGGTTATAATAAATGGGGGGGGGGTACTGTTGATATCTTGAATTCCTGTTGGTGAGGGGCTTTTCCAACGTCTTCTCCAGGCGGGTCAAAACCAAATAGGTAGGGGGTTAAAATGGAATATTCCCGACAACTTTTTGATATCATTGAAAGGAACTGAGAAAAATCTGCACAAAGTAAAAGTTGGGGAGCCCTTCTATTACAGGCCCAAATTTACAAACTCAATTCTTATGAAACTGGAATCTTGTGATTCAGAAACACATCAATATTTTTCACTTCCTCTATTGGAAATTTTCTCTGTGTTGACAAAAACAACATGGCACAAAAGTCGAAAAAAGCGTCCGGGCCAAAATTGGATGAACAGATGATCTACTCGCTCAGTCGGAGGTTGCAAAATCAAATAAAAACAAATCTTGAGTCACACAAAAAACCTAGAAAAAACAATTTCTCCAGATAAACTATTTCATAAATTGAGTTGTGAGAGGATGACGTCTAATTACGAATTTCCTTCTGTTTCTTCTCTTCGCCTGCTCATTTTTTCTCTTTTTTTGAAAACTACTGAAGCGAAGAACGGAATAACAAATCGACCACTCCTTTTTCGCTCTTTTTATTGTTGTTCATTTGTTTTTTCACCACGCAAATGAGCAATCTTCCTTCTATCCCGGGCAAGAACACATTTAGAACGGGTAACGATGAACGAAAATTTATGAAAAGTTATGGGTCAAGAGGATCATTTCAATTTGTAATGAATATCACTGTAGCTTGATTTTAGTGCCTTCGGTCTGATATCGAAGAAACAATCATATTACCGCTAATTTGAGCACAGAACTGGATTCCAATACCTACAGATAATATATTATTCTGGTACAAAAAACGGATCTGTGGAAGAAAAATACCGTTGGCCTTTGCCGAAGGTCCCACAACGACAAAAACGGAAGTCGAGAAAACAAAATCAGAAAATAAACATTTTTTAGGATACTGTAGTTATCGTTGTGGAAACTTCGGCCACGGCCACCGGCGTTTCTCTTCCACTGTTACGATTTTCTGTACCAGAATAATATATAAAGAGAGGAATGAAATGAAATACAGTGCGTTCAGTATCTTTAGGACCCCCCTCCTCTATTTTCACAGTTCTGAGAAAACGGTAAGAGATTTCAAAAATCAGTGAGCCAAAATTTGGTACTCATCAGTGATGGGAGGAAACGCATTTTACCGAAATACGGAAAACGGAAACGGAATTTTTTTTCCGTGAAAAACGGAAACGGAAACAGAAAAAAATTTCACTTTTACGGAAACGGGAACGGAAATGGAAAGGGAAATTTTTTCCGCGGAAATGGAAACGGAAAAAAAAACTTCAAAAATCGGGCGGAAAACGGAAAACGGCAAACTAAAACTTAAACGGAAACGGAAATTTTTATTTTTCGTTTATTTTTCAGGATTTTTTTCCCTTCAAACGTAAAAATATACCGTTTTTAACGTTTAAAGACTATATTTGCATGACTTTCCATGTTTTTTTCCAAACCAGTTTCAGTTTAATGTTTTCGTTTTTTAAATTTTTTCCGTTTCCGCTGTAAAAAAATGGCGGTTTTCCGGAAAACGGAAACGGAAACGGAAACATGATTTTACTTTTACGGAAACGGAGAAGGAAACGGAAACGGGAATTTTTTCCGCGGAAACGGAAACATAAAAAAAAACTCTAAAAACCGGGCGGAAAACGGAAAACGGAAATGGAAATGGAAATTCCTCCCATCACTAGTACTCATACCTCTTCTGGTATTAGTACACGGCCCAAAACTCTCTTTTTCAGCCGTTCAATATCTTTAGGACCACCTGAGATTTTCGCCGTAATTTCACTTTTTGTGTCAAAATTTGATCCAAAAGTGGGTAAATGCCCGAAAATTTCATATGTGATCTTGGTCTTCGTATTACGAAGATGTTTCTGAACTTCACTGAGAATTTTTACATTTTTCTGTCGCTCGTGACCAAATTTTCAACTCGATGAGCGACAGTCGGAAGAATCAAGAAATAGCCATGGCAGGCATGGATTCTGATCTGAACTCTATTGAGACGGCTTCGGATCATGATGCCTGTTGCGTTTACCACAGCGTCAGGCTGTTCAACCGCATCAGGGATCCCAAAATTCTCTCCAAAAAGTAAGAAACATGCTAAATGAATCCGAACCAAACGATCTAGTTTCCAGCATACCAAATGAGTTGGCCAAAGTGATTTTAAATACTATTCATGAGAAATCCAATTGATTTCTTTAGTTTACCTACTTTTTTGTCGTTGATTACAGCTTTTAAATGATGATTTAATTTTGCTCATCGAGTTGAAAATTAGGTCACGAGCGGCCGAAAAATGTAAACATTCTCAGTGAAGTTCAGAAACATTTTCGTAATAAAACCAATATCACATATGAAAATTTCGGGCATTGACCCACTTTTGGATCAAAATTTTGACACAAAAAGTGAAATTACGGCGAAAATCTCAGGTGGTCCTAAAGATATCGAACGGCTGAAAAAGAGAGTTTTGGACCGTGTACTAATACCAGAAGAGGTATGAGTACCAAATTTTGGCTCCCGGGGTTTTTTTTGAATTTAAAAACGAATGATGCTCACAGATTTTTGATATCTCTTACCGTTTTCTCAGAACCGTGAATATAGAGGGGGTCCTAAAGATATTGAACGCAATGTAGAAATCGGTCAATGTGAATTTCAGCAAAAAAGATCTCGTTTTTGCTATTTAAACATAAAATACATCCCGTTTTAAACGACATGATTACATAGTCATCATGTAAAGAGGGGTTGATCTAGAAGAGGTTCTTGATTACCAATTCAGATGTCGATGATGAGAGAAAAAAAAACAAAATGAATGAGAAAAAATGTGAAAATTCTGGAATTGGGTGACGTTTCATAATCATACAGAACTAAATTGGATCCGATGGGCTTTCACAAAGTTGGATAAGATGATCCAGGTTTATTGAAAGATTCAAAGTACGTTAGAAAAAAACAGAATCCAAAAATCTTAAAAATCAACATTTGATTCTTTCTATTGTTTTCTTTTGAAATCAAAATAAATTGGAAACCCATGGGTTACATAGTTAGATTCTGAATTTAATTCAAAATGTATTTGACAATGAAAACGATTTCTACTCTTATTCCTGCTCCGTCTACCACCCCCAACACACTGATCGCCGGAAACTAGACAGACAAAAAGCCTTTTGGAAATTATAAGGAAGTGTTTCTTTTTTCTCTTCATGAATACTTTTTGCCCCCGCAGTCTTCTGAACTTGTGCTCTCTGCATCATTTGATTGAAGAGATTCCAGTATATGTAGGTAATTCGTGAGAATACAACCTAGATTTTTGGGAGAACAGAGGAAATGGAAATCGAGTATTCTAGATCTCTAGAACTGCCTGATTCATTATTTCCGTTTCCCACGTTCTCGAATGTTGGGTATTATTCAGAAGGAGAGAGAGAGAGAGAGAGAGAGAGAGAGAGAACATATGAACCATTATAAATACTATCTAAAGTGTAATAGTAAACAGGTCAGTTTTTCTATACAAGACATCTATCGCCTTCAGACATTCTAAAGGCGTATCTAGTCAGGAAAATAAAAAGGTATATCCTTAGTATCGCAGTTAATTAATTCTCGAAACATGCATTTGATAGCTATAGAATATTGCTACACACGACGACGGCGGAAACTAACTGAATATTGAGTATTTTTGTTAAAAATAGAAAAAATATAGATGACAGCCACACAGACACTCATTATATCTGTTTTTACTTTTCTCTCATCATTGTGTGATCACTCATAATTAACCAAACTTTCAACTTATTTACCTTGTCATAATGAAGATTTCGATGAGCTGTCCAAATTTTGAGAATATCCAGTTCATACATCAAATGGGGGAATGAGACATAGAAAACGATTTTGAGTTTTGAGTTCTCTCAAATTTTAGATACCGATCCCGAACATTTTAGCAGAATAGCTAAGCATGTACACGCAACATCAGGAATGTGAAATAAATGCGGGAAAATGGGAAATTCGAAAAAAAAAGAAAAATTGAGAGGAAGAAAATAGTGATGATGATGATGGAAAAAAGAGGAAGAAAAGGAAAAGAAGGTCCATGAATGAATGGGTCACCAATGGATACCTGAAGAGTTGGAAACGCAGAGAAAACATCCCGTAGAAACCAGAAAAAAAGAGAAACTTGCCATAAATGTGTGTCGAGAATTGGTGGTCCGTGTTGAATGAGGATTCTCGAAATGTTGTGGAAGCATGACGAATCGGTAATTGGGATATTAACGAGTTTTGGTAGGTGAACGCCATCCATATCTGAAATATATAAACTGATTTCAAAAAAGAAACATTTAAAGTCAACAAACTGATACATAGGAATGGGATAATATATTAATGTTAGAGCAGAAGTATTCGGAGTTTTATTTTTAGGAAGTGTTTACTGTTTCTTTTAATTGCCTAGTTAAAAATTATAAAATGTGACTGTATCTACAGTACCGTCAGTGAGATAAACAAAAACGTATTTGTCAGTTGATTTTCGACCATTTTGACCATTTTCGGAGTCTGGAGCTCGGCTGTCAAGTTTCCGATCATCTTGAAATCTTTCGACGGTGTAAAACAGACCTAGATTGAAAACTTTGCATTCACAAAATTTTTTTTGAAAATTCCTAGTTTTTCAGCTATTAGCGGATCTCTGAATGACACATCTTTTTGCCCCGTTTTTGTACTGAAACCGTGAAAAAAGGTGTCTTTCAGAAATCGATGGATAGCTGGAAAACTAAGAATTTTCAAAAAATTCTGTGAATTCAAATTTTCAAATCTCGGTCTATTTTACACCGTCCAAAATTTTCAAATTTATCGGAAATTTGATAGCCGAGCTCCACGCTCCTGAAAATGGTCGGAATGGCCGAAAATCAACTGAAAACTACGCTATATATCTTCTTAACCGGTACTGTAGGTAGATAATTAAGGATACTCACAACATTTTGAGAATTCGTGCGAATGGCTAACATTTCAGAATAGACTGAAGACGTCAATTGTTATATTTCAGAACTGCTAGTTTTTCTTTTCGCAGAGCAAAATCTGGGATCATCTTCGGATTTAGTGGAAGAGGAAAAACAAGTCAGTGAGCACGAAACGGAAACAGTGAATATATTTATTAGGTTGGCGGGAAAGTCTTTGTCACTCTGTTTGTTTAATCACTGTTCTCGTATATGGAGGCTGTGTATGATATCGACTCTAGTGAATAACAAGGTGATAAGAACCTTCCATATAAACAAGTCCCCATCTCCTTCCCTGCTCCTCATCTGTAATTGAAACGATATGTTTGTTCCCACTGCTATTCACATCAGACATGTTTTGATTTACCTCTTCCTATCTCACACCACGATGAAGGATTCGGAAACTTTCTTGAAGAATGTGTACAACACACATGCCCCTCACTACAATACTATTCGCAATTGGTTCCATCGTTTCGAAAAAGATGACTTCTCGCTCGATGAAAAGGATCGCTCTGGGAGACCCCGTGAGTTGGATTTGGACAAGCTGAAGCACGCATTGCAATCGGATCCATTTCAATCTAGCCGTGAACTAGCTGTCACATTCGGAGTTCACCATAGCACAGTCCTTGAAGGTTTGAAGTCTCTTGGAATGAGAAAACTTTTTGGTCGATTCATACCTCATCACCTGACTCAAGCCAACCTTGACCGCCGAGTCGACGATTCGATTACTCTTCTCACTCTCCACGCGGGCGATCGATGGCTGGACCGGCTAATAACCGGAGATGAGAAGTGGGTCTTCTACGATAATCACCACAGGAAATCCCAGTGGGTTGGAGAAGGAGAGAGCCCACAGGATGTCCCCAAACCCGACCTTCATCCGAAAAAAGTTATGCTCTCTGTGTGGTGGGGAGTGGACGGCCCCATCTACTGGGAACTTCTGCCCGAGGGCAAAACAATAACTGGAGACCTCTACACTACTCAACTACGAAACCTCAAGAAAGCAGTCGACCGTTCGGCCCTGAAAGACAAGAAAGTGTACTATCAACATGATAACGCTCGCCCACATGTTTCGAAACAAGTGAAGCAGGAGCTGATGGGATATGGATGGAATGTTCTCCCTCACCCCCCGTATTCTCCTGATCTTGCTCCTTCCGACTATTGGTTATTTGGCGATATGACACGTGCCTTCGAAGGAAGAAGCTTCAATTCCCGTGGAGCGGTCGAAGCGGCACTCAAACAATACTTTGCCTCACGCCCGGCTGGATTCTACCGCAATGGAATCCATAAATTGAGGGACGTTGGAGACATGTTGTTGATAATGATGGACAATATAATTAATTATTCGGTTATTTTTTCTTTGAGAAATAAACTATTGAAAAAGTGACAAAGACTTTCCCGCCAACCTAATAATAAATAAAATTGATAAGGAAATTCCCGATTTCCTATGCTTAATTCCCGATTTCCAGAAATCCAATTTTTCAGATTTTGAGAAGTTGAACAAATGTTCGCAATCTTAAAATGTATAAGGGAGTCTGATAAACTAAGTATACTCAGAGAATACTTGAAAAGCCATCGAAAAACAATTGAAGTGTTCACTTTAATTTTTAGATCCAAATTTCCTTGTTTTTAATGTTCTTTTCATAACCCTACTCGAAGATATTTGGGAAGAAATAAGCAAAAGTTGGAGAAGAGAAAGGAAACAAGGGAATCAACGACATCTGGTGGTTAGGAAAAAAATTGAAGAAGAAAAATGAAGAATTGTGAGCTGGGAAAGAAATGGGTGGAGAAAACAAGCAACATATGTATTTCATTGTGTTTCTTTTGACGAGTGCATTAGGTTTTTTACTCACATTTATAATTGAAATAATCAGTTATTAATGGCAGAGTTAAAAGAATTCAGAATGACCTAACCAAATGAATAAAACAGAGTTTTCATGCTCCAATTAGGATTATTGAAATGTTCATATTCATATACCCAGAATCGGTCTTTATTGGGAAGGGACCTAGACAAATTAACACAATCTAATTGTCGTTTTCTAGAAAGTCATTATTAAATTTCAGGTAACAACTGTTTTATTTTGCAGATAACTGCATAAGTTCAGAGAACAGTTCTTATATTGTTTCGTATTTAAAGCGAAAGTCGGATTATCATTTTACTATGAAATAACCTGTTGGGCATTAAATATCACCCACTCAGACAGTTCCAATATCTGCACTGTCCTGATCTTGGCAGTAGCTTTGAACCTGAAGAATTTTCTGTAGGAGATCCATAAAAGCCAAAAAAAGTAGAGATTGTTCTTATTCTTCTTGGAACCCAGTCTGAGCAAAGAAAAAAAAGAAAAAACGACGGGTGAATGGCATGGAATTGAGGACAACGACGATAGAAAAAAGGAGATGGAAGAGGGAAATATGACAAAAAATATAAAAATATTCGGTTGGTAAAGAGTGGAGGGACGAGTCAATCCTCCAGGGGGGACACCCCTTCCATCGAAAAAAGCACTGGCACACCGGTTGAAAAAAAGAAACGAAAAAGAGGAAAACGACGATCGAATTAGGCGGAAAGACTCCATCTTCAGTTTGTTTTTCCTCCCTCGTTTTCGTTTTTTTCTTCGTTTTTTATATTGACATCACCACTGACGTCTTCATCATTACCTAAACATGCCTACTGGTTTGTTGTAAGATTTCTCAGAATATTGGAGTTACTGGAGATAAAAACCAATTTTCTACCGCTGACAAGTGTGAGTAGCGACTCACATTCAGTAGTTAAATTTAAATCTTTCGTGTGAAGACCAACGCTAATTTTAATGTAGAGTTACGGTTATCGCATTTTCGGCGACGTTCCGAAAAAAAAACACCATGTTTTAGGTTCTATTCAAAATTTTAGAATTCCCGCCTTTTCCATTTAACATCCTCTTCATTTTTTTCAAAATGAATCCAGAAATGTAACAAATAGAAGGGTGTAAAATATATTTCCAAAATACTGAAATTATTCAGAATCTCCCCGAATGAACACTGAATTTCTAATGAAGCAAAACACAGAATTAGAGGGAAAAGATAGGACAAAACGCCTTTCTGGAAAAAGAAAGAGTCGGTTAAGAATATGTCTTTTTCTTCTTTCTTTTTTTTTTTGAGAAATACATTGTGAGTGGATGAGAAATTGAGATTTAGTAGAAAAAAGGTTGAAATGAGTGAAAGATAGTGGAGATTTCGAAAAACAAAGACCACTTTTAAAAGAGGTAAAGAACGTCTGGCTACTGAAAAGTTGATGCTTTTAGAGAAATGGAACGGAAATTAAAATTGAAACATTCAAACATTCGGTGTTATTTTCAGAACAGCATCAATCCCGTCTGTTCGTCATACTATAATCCGAATTGAAAACAAAAATTCAAACATTTTTTTCGACAGGGATCAAAGGTTCCAATCTCAGACTGTGGTCGTTCTTTGCTGAATTAACAATTGGAGATCTGTCTTGCAAAGCTTATTTTGAATATCAATAAAAATATAATCCGTTGAACAATTCGAGGCAATTCTTGAAATAAATGCTAGAATTTTTCTGAAAATGGATGAATGCATAAAAAGATTAAAATAGTTGCTAGGGATGTAATTGGTGTCTGACTAAAGAATGATTTTTAGTAAATGGGCAATTGATGTTTGCGTTTGGATCTGGCTTTTTGAAAACCGTTTCGGCACTTCTTTTCTGGAGTTTTTTGTAAAACTTGGAACATTTTTACAGTTTTTTGATTCAATGGTAGCCTATCCAGAACTTTGAAGTATTTTTCTGTGGTGTTTCCATGCAACTTTGTATTATAATCATAGGAAAGAATGTGAACTCCCAAAAATGAAAAATCTCAAAAGTTTGAAGATAGGTGCTTCAAATTATAGAAAACAGTTTCAGTATCTCCTGCAAATGAAAGAAAATACAAAAAAAGAAAAAAACTGAACGCCAATCCAAAACAACAGATTCATGGACATTCTTGCATAATAAAAAAACATACGTTTTTGACCGAAAACACTAGATTCTCAGAAGCTTTCAGCAAAAATCGAAAATTGAATCTGGGATTTCAAATCATGGTCTTTCCGGTAGAATTGGTTTCAGACATCAATTTTTAAAAGAAAGAATATGACAACCGTATTTCCTCTAATAGAAGCCCAATCAAACCGTCAACTTTGAGCGCAATTATTTCAATTCCTGTGGAAGGTATCAAAATTTGTGTTCTAATAGAGTGTTTACGGTAAGTCACGAAACTCTTGGAGGCAATAATTGCTGATTTTGACATTTCAAAGACTAGCATTCAACGCAAATCTTTACTCTAATCCGAAAAAAAAGAAATTTTCTACCAAAAGCCAGAGGACTTCCTTAATCTAATACGGGAGAAGCGGGTACGAAGGAAGAAAACACACAATTTGTCTGATGAACTTTTGCCGAAAAACGGGTCAATTTTCGGATATGTTTTTTTGACGAAATAGAAGAAAGAAGAGTACTCCTTTAAGAAAAAACTGATTTGAAACAGATATCTGGAGGTTACCGAGAAACTGAAAATGAATCTATTTTAATCTTCTTTTTTAACTAGTGGACAAGTACTGGTCAGTTCCCGAAACGGTCATTCGAGAAAAACGCTTTTCCCGAGATTCTCTTTTTTTTTGTTGCTAATAGAAATTCTTTGAATGGGCGCAATTTGAACGGCATGAATGGGATGTTTGAAGAAATGGGTAGAGAAAAAAGAACGAAAAAGAAAGGAAAAAAGTCAATGTGTCAATCAAAAAAAGAGCAATGGAACTTCGTAGGGAATGCATGTAGGTATAAGATTTTTTGGGTGGATCCTACATCAAGAAATGCTAAATATTTTGTGTCTTTTGAACTTGAAATTTGATCATATTTCAAAAGTTTCTGAAAATAAGGTACCGTATTTCCTCTAATAGAGCCCCACAAACTGTCAACTTTAAGTTCAATTATCTCCATTCCTGTGAAAGATATGAACATTTTGCCAACTGATAAACTGTTCATCATAATATCACCAATATTTTATCAGTTGACACCTTTCTGATAGTTTCTGTCTCGTTCGTCATCCATCCCCAGAGAATTAGTACCTCCATCCAAATACTTTATTGCTTCTAACTGAATTCCAAATTTTCAAACACTACTTCTACAGCATATCGCAATACCTGTATTACAAGGGCCGGCTCTTTGATTGTTCTAAGCTCCTCTCAGAGGGTTCTTCTATTAGAGGGACCCTTCTAATACAGGTTTTACGGTTTCTCATTATCATCTTCCTACAGTACCCGACTGTGTTTTGTTTTTGAATTACACATGAAAAAACATCTGCTCACATTTTTATGTAACTTCAGGTGAAGCAAAGATGATGACGTAAGTTGTTTGGAATGTAAGAACGGATAATAATTACAGTGTTATCTAAAGAACTCGACAGGTATTTTTATCAACAGGAAGTCTATAACGATCGCACAAGGGAACGTTTTTAAAAAAGGCTCTGGGAATTTGCTGAAAATTTCAGTTCTTATAGTTTGACACCTCCTCTACACGATAACAAAAAAATCTAGGTCATATTCCCATCAGAAAGCTGAAAATCTTCGTCTGAAAATTTGACCTCGATTTCGGCGTGGCTTTCCCCTCTTTCCTATACGCCTTCCGCGTGAGAAGAAAACGTCGGTTGTGTGGTGTTGTGGTAAGAGGGTGACTGGCACAGGTGATTCGTGATTGACCAATTACAGATGAAGAGCTATACACGACCCAATTACTCACCTACCGCAAACTAGTGCTTCTACAAATGACCATTCGCGAGCAAAATGCGTATCTTACTAACTGACCCTATAAAAGGTCTACAATTGACCAGTCGCGAAAAATTCTTGTTTTCCTTTTTCGAAGTTCTTTCACCTATTTTGGTTATTTTTCATCGTTTTTTCAGTTTCCTTCGCAAAATTTGTCCGTAAGTTATTATTTAACTTACAAGAGCATACTAGAATACTGTCTCAGCCAGTATTTTGCTTTTTATTTGCAGAAAAATTGAAAAAATGGCCAGGAGACAAATGTCGGAAGCTAGAAGTCGAAATTTTGGTTTATTCAGGAGGTAGCACTGCTACTGTACTTTCAAAAGGTAAGAAGCGTTCAGAAAGTCCGAATTTCAAATCCAATTTTACAGAGAGCCAGGAAATTCTCAATTTTCTGGTACGCCCACTGAGTACTCCGGAAAAAAAACGACTGAGAAAAAGGAAGGAAGAAAAAGGAAGAACGGTGGGTAGATTTGAGAAAAAAATCTGAGAAAAAACTTTAGATTTCAGTCGGAAGTGTCAAATTCGCTGATTTCGAGAAAAGTTCCAGCCGATAACTTATGTCAGAGGTATAGTACAAAAATTTAGGAGCTTAAAATTTCGATATATCATTTCAGTTTGCTAACCGAGATTCTACAGCGTCTTCTCCTCCCCCACTTGGACCGTCATCGAAAAAGACAAAAGCTGACAGAAGTAGAAGCTTCGACGCCGTTCCAGCCAATACGATGACAGCGGAAGAGAATAATATAACTTTTAATTAATTGTTTTTTCGTTTTTCCTTGTTTTTTCTGTGCAATAAACAATTTTTAGCAGCTACTAGCTTCCAGATTCCAAAAAGTATATCCCATTTATAGCCCTCGCGACAAGCCAATTGTAGGAGATTTCTCGCGATAGGCCGAATATTGGTCGTTTGCGGTGGCGCGTTCACGATTGGTCTGTAATTGGCCTGCGGCAGGCATGTTCCGATGTACCCATGGCGATTTTCCGCGAACAATATTTAACCTATTATAGACGCTGCGCGAATCACCTGTGTCATTAGAGCGAATATGCTGGTTCGACCCCCACTGTGGTAAACCTTTTTTGCTTTTTTTGAAACAAATTTCCGGTATCCGTTTTGGTTCTCTAGATAACAAATTATACTTTTTTCATGAATTTCCTAGTTTTTAAATGTAAAAACACAAGGCTTTTGAAATTTTAAAAAAATTTCAAAACATGAATTTTTCGACGGGCCAGATTCTATCGTCTAAAAAACAATATATTTTGACTGTAGAAATGGTCTTTTCGAAATTGAACTCTGCAAAATCGATCACATATGTGATTTTAATATATGTCTGTACATTTAAGTTGATTTCCAGCAAAATTTGAGAAATTTTGATCTTTCAAAGTTCTAGCAATAATCATACTTGGAGAATCATTAGAGCTGATAGACCAAATCTGGCTGCCAAAATTTGTGAGAATGATGTTTCCATCATATTTCTGAACGTGTGAAGCACTTTTCTGCATTTTCAAAAAAAATTTCAAAAATTCGCAAAAATTAGTGTGGGGGGCCCCATGGGGATTTTTTCCGAAAAAAATCGAAAATGTTTTTTCTTGAAACTGTTTAAAAACGACTTCAGATGATAGAAATGTGTTCAAAAATGAGTTTCGCATTTGAAAAAATCATGGAAAAGGACTTTTAAAGCTCGAAAAGTGCTCATTTTTGACCAAAATTTAGTGCTGAAAACACTTTGAGAGCCCATATTTTGGTTCCTATTAGGGTTATGACCGAGATATTGCTGGAACCTTTTTCAGCATGTTCGAAAGTACCTTGGTACAAAATTTCAGCAAATTCTGGAAGCCTTTCTAAAAACACCTCCCTTGTCAGAAAAAAACAGTGAAAAGGAACAATTGGGTCATTCATGGGAATAATATTTTGAATAGAGCAATCTAAATAAAATAAAGAAAACTCACCCTTTCATTGAATTCTTTTTGCATCAACCGATCGACGGCGATATGAGTGAATAGTACAATATTTTCGGGTTTTGAGGCCATAATCAAATATTTTGGTGAGACGAGAGCACCTGCCAGCATTTGTGCATTTAGGAATAACTCGGAATCCGCTCTCCGGAGATGGAAAGCGAAGGGGGGAGACACTTATTTTTGGAGTCCTGGCTGATTTATGGACAAGTTGTTGGAAATTGGTTTTCTTTTCTTCTTTCCACGTCTTCTTCTTCTTGCTTCTCACGACCGGTTTGCCGTCTTTGAAAATTATACATAGTCCGGGGGTTTTTGATATATGTTTGCTGTTGAATGGAGAAGAATGTTGGTGATGTAAAAGTTGAGGGTACTAAGTAGAATGTTGAGGAAAAGGTGCAATAAAAGAAGGAAAAGAAGATGTCTCGTATAGAAATGTATGAGAAGAAAGACGAAGAAGTGAGCACATGAAAAACATGTATGATGACGATGACGGGCACCCCTTAATAGGCCTATCACGTATGGGCGAAGTTCTAGAAGAGAGAGCAAAGTTATTTATGGAGGCGTCATTTGGAACCAAAAAAGCGGTCAGTACTTCTTAGAGGTTTCGACACAACATCACTATCGGTCAGTGTCGTTGATTTTATCTTCAGTCCGCGGTGGGCTGCGAACCCGAATGTTGTGAACAAGAGACAGACAATTTAACCACTCGGCCACACACTCAACAGTTGCCTCTGCTGCGATTTGTACACTATTTGTGTGTCGCTGGCGGAGAGGAGAAGGGTGATTGCGAAAAGGGAAATTTTTCCTCGAGAAATCAAATGGGTGCGAAAAAAACGACATATTTTATTTATTAAACAAATTGACGAGAAACTCTGAATTATTCAAACCGAATTGGGCGTTTGGTGACATAACGGAATCGGCGCCTGAAAAGAAAGGAAAATTGGAAAGGAATAGGACATATTGAACCTACGTAGTTGTGGTTTCGTCAGCATATTCGTCTTCTTCTTCGGTGATAATTGGACCCCGTGGTTCTTCATTTTCATATTCCTTTGGTAATCCAACCTGAAAAAAGACACTTTTTGCACTTATGACACTTATTGGAAGTCATGAATAAGTTACCGTTTGCCTTTCATCGTCGTCCACGCTGAATGTTTCCTCTTCGATAACTCCCTCGCTTCTAGTACCTGGAGCACTTCCAAATATACTTTCTTTTTCATCTTGAGAAGAGAAGGTGATCGTCTCCATTGTAGTTGTGACTGTGATATCTTCTGGAGCATCTTCTTCTTCTTTCAACACCTCAGGAACCATTTCAGTTGTTGATCTAGTTGTTTGTTCAGAAGTTGTTGTGGGTTCTGGTGTGGTTGTTGTTGGTGGCATTGTTGAGAACGGAGGAGATGGTGGTGATGGACGAACGGATTTCGAATGTTTAACTTTTAGTAACTCCAATTCCAATGGGCACGGACAGAACTTAATATCAGCTCCTCTATCTCCTGGAGGTCCTTTTGGTCCCCGTTCGCCAGGATTTCCAGATACTCCGTCAAGACCAGATGGACCTGGCTGACCCATTGGACCAGGTGGACCATAGATGTAATTGCGCTGAAAAAACGGGTTTATCATAATCAGATGTATATTCAAAAAAACGCCGACTACTATTATTCTGGCGCAAAAAAATCGGAGCTGTAGAAGAGAAACGCCGGTGGCCGAAGGTTCCACAAAGACAGCTACAGTAACTTGCCATTTCTTTTATTTTCAGGATTATTTTCTCGATTTTCGTGCATCTGCTGTCAATCTCTGCACTATTTAGAAATACGAGAAAATATCTAAAGCTTGAAAACAAAAATATTTCCAGGTTACGGTAGTTTTCGTTGTGGGACCTTCGGCCACAACCACCGGAATAATATACAGATTTACAGTTTTCTGACAATAACTAACTTTTCCACGTGGTCCCTGCAATCCAGGTCCTCCCTTTGCTCCTGGAACTCCTTTCGGTCCAGGTTCTCCAAATCCACCCATTGCAGATTTCCCGTCTGCTCCCTTTCTTCCTCTTCTGCCAGGTGGTCCTGATGGTCCAACTGGTCCCTCTTCTCCTTGTTCTCCATCCAAACCATCTTGTCCCGGAATTCCAGCAATTCCTTTATCTCCTTTGTCTCCAGTTTCTCCTCGATCTCCTGGTGCTCCAGTTGGACCACGTTCTCCCTGTGGGCATGTGATACAATCTTGATTCGCTTGAATCTCCTCCATTATATCACGCGCATCCAATCCGCGAATTCCATTTTTACCGTCTATTCCGGGTTGTCCATCTCGCCCGTTTGCACCCGGAAGACCCGGATATCCGGGCTCACAAATGACAATCTCGCGTTTTCTAGCGACGTGCAAGAAGGCGTAGTCAGACAATTCACGAATGATCCCAGATTCTAGATTCTACAAAAAAGGATGTTCTTTTTATATGAATAATTGACCCTCAAACCTTAAATGCGTCTACTTTGCTCATAACCAAACTATGAGCTGATTCAGCTCGTGAAATTATATATGGAAAATAAAGAATTTGAAGAATTATCAGAAGACATGAGAATGAAATCGAGAGAGCGGCGATATTGTAAAGCCACATCCCAAGATAATTAGTGATATGGAAGAATGACTTGGGAAAAAACGAAGAACCTAAATGACCTATTTCTCGGAAGAGAAAGTTTTGTAAGGCGGAGAAGAATGAGAAAGGGCTGATAAAAAGTGAAAGCATCGAGAGAGAAAACGGTTCACAGGTCGAAACATTTATTGGGTTAAATATTTCACAGAAAAAGAACATCCGGTTGTTTTTCTTGTAAATCAAAAATTTAAATTTAAAACTGATGATCGAAATTTTGCCATTTCAAGGAGAGATCCGATAAATCGAGGAAGCAAGCGACGCGGGTTTTGGAGAACTTTGGAAGGCATACAAGAAGACATGAGGCATCAGTTCCATCGACTGAAAAACGTCGAACCTCGGCTTGTGGTTGGTTACCGCAAATGATGACATGTGGAGTAGAAGACATCACGAGGGGATCTCTGAAAAAACACATTTCAAATCCGAATGATTAGTCGTTATTACCTCTCAGCAATTGGAAAAGCATCCAGTGTATCTGGACAGTTCGGAGCGATATGTTGCCATTTCACAAGATTGGAAAGAACATCAGCACCGGACCATTTGTGCGAGGTTCTCAGCAGTTCTGTCACGTTTTCTCCCGACATCGTCATGATTCGAAGTCCATCAACTTCAAACTCGTACGGATTTGTCACAAGGTTCACTTTCTTCTCGTTCATCCCACAACGAGGCAGACATACTCGATGAATTGGTGGAAGTGGCCACATTGAAGAACAAGGATCGCCAACGGCAGGTGTCACATCAATGGTATTCACTAGTAGTTTCTCGGAAATCGAACTTATCAGTTTATCAACAGTGATGAGAGATTTGGCAGAGGATTGTCTCTCTGGGCGTGAAAGAGTAAGGGTTCTGACAACTGATTGAACATCGCATCCGTTTGATTTTGTCTCTACAAATGGTCCAATCATTACAACACGATCTATACTGGGACATTGATGTTCTTCTCCATTTGTATTCATCCAGTCTGACATGAATTCTAGCCCCGAGATAGTGAGCCTCTGTAAATGCACATTTGTGAAAAAATTGATTTTTAAAAGTTTACATACATCTTGTTCGATGTCTCCAGATAGATCGAGCCCACTGATGAAAACGAGGGTCCCTTCCGTTGTGGCTTTCTTTGTAACATTGGCAGCTGGCCAAACCAATCTGCTAACGTGGAATACTCCTTCCTTTCCTAACTTTCCAAGAACGCCGACACAACATCCGGTAGCACAATCCTCCATGGAAATAGCTCCTTCCAGACGCACTGTTTGTTTCTCTGATTCTAGCTCGATGCGATCTTCACTGCTTCCTGCATATCTTTTGACATCATCCTCTCCGTCATCCACATTGTCATACGCCACTTTGTCTTCGCTCAGAAGAGATTTAAGGATCGATGGTCTCGCCAATACTCTTTTCACGATCACTCCCGTGATGAAAATTTCTTCGTCTTGTTTTGCGTCGCTCAACAAAACATGCTTGAATTTCCCTTTGCCTGATAGAATGAAATTATGGATATTTTTCAGGAAATGTATTAATCATACCGATTACTCGCTCAGCATTATCAAGAATTCGAGGTTTCAGTTCTTTCACTCTGGCTTCATAGATTTCGAAATACTGTCTCGCAAAAGCACCTAGAAATATTGAATGAATTATTGGAAATACGAAAAACTAGCCTTTTTTGTCTTCTTCAGTGAGGACGTATCGATCGGATACATTTTTATAATTCAAAGTGTTGCTCCATGCCGCCGCCATCCTTCAAAACAATTCACTTTTCTTGAAAACCCGAAAACTACTGAAAAATTTGGTTTTGAAAATTGAAACTTTCGCGGCGCTGTCCAGTGGGGCGCGATCACTCCGAAGTTTGACAGAAATTGAGACCCCGCAAATTCCGGGGAAAAAATCGGGGGAAAGTGGGCGGAGTCGAGAAAAACCGTGCGGCAAAACCGTGCCAGGGTTGCATTCCGCCCACTTTTGCCCGGAGTTTTTTCCCAGGAAAATTTTTTCCCCGGAAAGTTGTGGGGTCTCCAGAAATTCGGAGACCAATACCGGTGAATAGGGAAAAAAGCTTATACATTTACATGTATTTATCCATAAATAAAACAAGTCTCTACTGATAGTGGTATTTTGGAGATTTTTTCATTCTCAAAAAACTAGCTCATTTTCAATTTGAACTACTGAATAAATACTGCAGACTGATAACATTTTCTGGATACTGCAGTATGTATACTGTAGATTCGTTTCTTTTCGAGTCCAACAGTTCGGTTTCGAATATCGAGTTTTATTTCCTGTATCTCACTTAGTTAGTTTACAACTTGGAAAAGAAAAAAAGAAAAATTGAACTGCAAAAACTTTATTTTTGTAAGACACCATAGACATACACATTCAGTCCCAGTTTGATCACAATAACTTATATGGTCGACGGAAACATTTTACAAAACAATAAATAGAATTCTTTTGGTGTAGCAGAGCGTGCAGATGCTGGAACAAATAAATTAACTATTAAAAAAAGGGTAAAACAGAAACTACTCAGCACAAGTAGGTGCCCATACTTTAAAAAAATCTATTTAGTAACTTTTTACAAAGCGTTCCAAATGTGCAACGGCTAAAAATGACAGAAGGAAGAATGGATGGAAATGAATGTGTACATAGAAAACCGGTACGAATAGCAATATTCCACACTGACTCGCAGAACCTAGACATACCCAAAAAAGCAAAGGGAAAAATAAGTTATCGGGACGGAGATAGTTTCACATTTTACTTGAATCAGGAAATAAGATCACGAATCTTGCGATGGATATCCACAAGATAATCCACGTATGACATATTTGAGGCTCCAGATTTGTCTTCAACCAAGAACTTCTTCATCCACGGTTCTAAGCCAGTCTTCTCAACTACAACAAATGTTTTCCGTTGTCGGATTCCGCGCGGCAAACACTGAATTGCTCGACGAAGGGCCCGCGAATGAGAATTGTCTTTTTCAGGTATTGTACCCTGAAGAATTATCAATATGCTCAAAAGGAGATTGAGTATTTAACTCACACTTTCGGTGTCAATTTGGTTTGCAGCTCCAACTCCGAACACATCTTGAATCCATTGCTGTGGGCACAAAGCACCAACCCAAACGAACAAAACAATACCATTATCGATGATATACGCTTTAGAATTGTCTAGGAAATCAGAACCAGCTCTGACTGGCTTCGGAAGTTCTTCCATTTCTTCTCCATCGTTCAATCTCAGGTCCGAAACAGGCATCACTCTTGGGTAAATGAGAGGCATCACATCTTCCGTTCGCATTCCACGTATCAGTTCCATTTGCCAAACTTTGTCGTCAACAGTCATTTCGCTTCCACCACTAATCGCATCATTTTTGAGAATTGAGTTCACATAAAGTGGCATCAGTTTCAGCGATTCGGGAAGAATCAACTGTCCAAGAGGAGCACCTTCACTGCATTTTTCTCTATACGTTGCCAAAAACTGTGCACATCGTGATGAAAGCGATTCCTTCATTTCGGAGCTACCCCTGTCGCGGTTGAGTTGAACAGCCTGTTTTAGCATGAAAGTCGTGAGAGCTTCAGGATCCGCGAGTTTGTACACTTGATTATAGTCTGCTGTGACAGGAAGGCACATGTTGAGAATTCTGAGACGTCGTTGACCAGTCATCGAAGTGTACAAAACAGCTGTTTGAATTAGGGAAGCTTGATCCTTCAAAGTATCGTCGTGTTTGATTTCTGTGATAAATGCTTTGCTTTCATCAATGGTTGCTAACTCCAAATCCGTAGAGTTCTCCATATAAAAAGAACCAGAGAAAGTGATTGGACGGATGCCAGTAGATGTTCGAACTCTTGCCATACAATCGAAAGCAATTTTTTTGGACACATGTCTTTCCAGTTCGTTCAACATACGAACACCATCTTTATCGGCCTATAATTATGGTATTTACTATAAAGTTTGATCACGAAAAAGTAACTCACCGAAAAGTACTGGAACTTGAATACAGAGCCACCAGTAACTGCGGAAAGTTGTCCAATGGTAGCGACGTCGATGAAAGCATTCGGGAAAAGGAACATATCAACAGTTACACCGGATTTGACGCATTGTTCTCCTAGTTTCGTGTATGATTCTTCTTGTGGAACGAGTGCTGTCTTTTCCTTGTCAGTTCCGAGTAAAGAGCGATCATTTTTCGATTTGAGTTTTCCGGGTGCATCAAACGTTGGAAGTACAGTCGAAAAAACAATGAGTTTTCCGGCACGATCAGCACACTTCAAAGCATCAAGACCAGCTTGAACTACCGGTTGAAGAATCGTCTCTGTCGTCTTAGACTGGGCGAAAATTTTCGGAATTTCAGCAAGAGCAGCTCGAAGTCCTGGGAGGGCATCGTTGTACGGAAGAAGAAGTCCATCCACCATCGGTACGAAAGGCTCGAGAACATCCGCTGAATTATAATTCGTGAAAAACCGTGAAAATCATGTCAACAACTTACACATGACAAGCATCTTGGGAGAAGCTGAAGAAATATCGAAAAAGTGAACAGCTTGGTCAAAAGTTGCTAATCCAACACGAATCGATGACTCGAGTTGTCCAGTTTCTCTCGGAAGATTACGAAGAACTTTTTCCAAATTCTGACATAAAATTGGCAACATTCCGTTTGAAAGCGCATTATACGAAACGTCGATCATGAAAATGAATGCAGGTTCTTTTGGAGCCAGTCCGTTCTGAAAAAAACTGTTAGATCTCGGGAAATTCTCTCGATTTTACCTTGCAGTACTGTTTTGTGGCAACAAGATCATACGCTCCTAGACACAATTCAGGTCTCATTTCAATATCGGTACGTCTTCCTGTATGATCGAGATGAGCAAAGTACGCATCTTCAACAGAGGTTCGAGCATGACAGAATGGGCATCGGAAGGAACGGCCACCATCTTGGAATTCCATGAATGGACAAATGTATGCTTTACAACGTTGACAACGAATTGGACCCTGTGGTCCCAAATCAACAACTGGTGGTTCCTTCTGAAAATTCGTAGCTCAATGTATGAGAAAGAAGGATTACAAAACTACCTCATATTCGTTCAATGGAGCGAATGGTGAAATGACGACAGCGAGAGGAATCTGAGAAGCTTTCAGGATGTCGTTGGTCTGAGGGGCTGTGTACAATGTTGATCTCATGAACTTCGGATTACAGTTGCCTTGATCTTGGGCAAATGAAAAAGTGGAAACGAGAGGAGGTAGCTCAGCATGCGGATATCCTGTTGGAAATATTCCGGAGCGAGCGGAATCTTCATCAATCACTTGAACTGCACTAGGCATCATGTTTGGATCAAGTCTCTGCTGTCTCTGTTGAGGTGGACCCCCGGGATAACCGCCAGGCATTCCAGGCATTCCCGGAGCTCCGGGAGCTTGTGGAAAGCCGCCAGGAACTCCAGGTCCCTGTGGAAACGTACCAGCTGCTCCGGGTACTTGCGGATATTGTCCTGGTACATTAGGACCTTGCGGGTATGCTCCTGATGCTCCTGGTGGAAAGGCGGATGGACCTTGAGGAGCTGGTGGGAAAGCTCCGGGCATGGCAGGACCTCCTGGTGGGAAATTTGAAGGCGCTCCTGGTACTGGTGGGAAAGCCCCTGGAGGACTTGGCCCAGGAGGAAAACCTCTAGGAGCTCCTTGTTGTGTAGCAGGTTGTGCACCTGGATAGTTGCCTTGAGGACCTTGTTGAAGTCCCGCGGCTGGAGCTCCAGGATAATTTCCAGGAGTCGGTTGCGGCATTCCTGGGTAATTATTTGGGGTGGGTTGCGAAGGTGCTACGCCAGGTTGGAAGTTTGGCACTCCCGGAGCTGGTGGATATCCTGGAGCTTGTGGTCGCAATGAAGCTGGTTGCTGAATTTGATGTGGTGGTTGAGGAGCTCCTGGTCCTCCTGGTCCTCCTGGAACTCCAGTTTGTGGTGGCCCTCCATGGAAACTGGGTGCTGTCGGCATTTGATTAACTGACGACCCACTACTTGTCGAATTTTGAACAGGTATTGGAGCTTGTTGGGGTGCCGTGTTGGATGGTGGAGCTAAAAAAATTAAAAGAAACGTTAATCATTGGCGATTGTAATGGAAATTTTTTGTGGTAGATCATTCGTACCCCTCGAAATATCATGCATGAATCGGATAAGACTTACCTTGAGAAATTTGTGAAGCATTTTGAGGTGGTCCATTAAACTGCGGTGTCTGTTGTCCCGGAAATTGTGCTTGTGGTGGGACAGCCGTTGGTGCTCCAGGATATCCTCCCATTTGCTGTGCCGGTTGACCTGTAATTTTGGAAAAGTATTATTAGTGCGTTTTAATATGAATATAAATTTAATGTGAACATTTTGTTTTGCTTCGAACAATAAAATTAGAGAAACCGGGAAGAACTGACCAAGTTGTGGCGCAGGTGAAGCTCTTGGACCCAATGACATGCTTTGTACAGACTGAGTCAATTGAGGAACTGGTCCCGGTGGTTGTGCGTAGGATTGTGTCCCATTAGCAGCACCATTCTGATAGAAACCTCCGTTTGGTTGTTGCTGTGGAACAGGCTGAGGAGGGAAGCCTCCAGGAGCTTGAACAGTTTTCTGCTGGCCTGAAAGTCTTGATTAAAATAAAAATTAGGAAGAAAAACTCGGCCACTCAAAAAAAAGTGTTTTACTATGAAATTTCAATTTCAAGACTCTAAAAAGCATTACCTGGCTGAGGGAATCCATTCTGCTGAAACTGTTGATTTGGGTTGAATTGCTGTTGAGGATTACCAGGTGGCTGGCCATATTGTGGCGATTGGTACGCCATCCTAAAGATTGTTAATTATGTTAATACTTTAAAAACTTTAAATTTTTCATCGGAACGCGATTAAATCCAGAGAGAACATTGAAATTGCTGTAAAGTTCCATGTCACAGCACGTTTTATCGTACTCAGTGACACTATGAACGGCAATTCGCTGTGAGACCCGTGCGCTGCGTCTCTTCTGACGGAAAGACTCTCTCGGAATAATTTGAATTTTAATTTACTCTCCGGCGATTCGGCTGATATTCGGATTTTTTTTGTAATATTCATACGAAAATCTTTTCTATTTTACATTTTTCTAAAGATTTTGACCTTTTTTATCGCTAATTTCCATTATTTGATCGTCAATAGTCGTTATCCTTTGTCGCTAAATACTGATGTTTTATTGAATATTATGCTTTTACAATGTTTTCTGATGAATCTTTATTTCAAATTAAAGTAAAACTGAGATCTGAAAAGCTGGGAGCCGGCCCTTGTGTCTGTTTACAAAGCGATGCTGTAACATTCCGGAGTTTTGCCTTGTATGAGTAATATTCGCGAACAAGTAAAATTTTCCGAGTAAAAAAAATTTTTTTTTAATTCTGGGCATGCTAGCGATCTCATTTTTATCAACAGATTGGAAATTGGTTCGGAGAATCTTACTAAATGTTTAAAATTCATTCCGTTTCATCCGATTTTTGCGATCAACCTCGTAAATAGACACGACCGTCGTCTGCGGGATTTTCAGGTAGCAGTTTTTTTTTAATTATGTCAATAGCGATTTCCAATCCTAGTTATTTATAAGCAGGGCGCACTAATCCATTATAAATTTCCGTCAAAGTATTTCTTCGTTTTGAATTTTTCCTGCATAAGGTCTTCTCATATTCTATTAGATGTGATGCAGCTCACCAGCTGTTCTCTCCATTGTTCCAATACCCCTCCTCCGCCCTCCCATCGTTCGTTTCTCGTCACACAGTAACGTCGTGTCTCCATTTTTTCCGGAATCTCCCTTTCCATTACTGGCAGCAAACGGACGTCGTTCCGTTCTTTTCGACCTTTCTATGTCCTCAGATCCTTCTTCATTCATATGTTTGTACAGTTTCCATTTACATTAGTCACTCACCCACTGTTTTTTCTACTTTTTTTCAACATTTCGCCAGCCCACTCATGCTCTCTCAAAAGTCAAAGTATCGGTTTCAGTTCGCTTTTCTATTAAAGTTGTGCGCGGCATTTGAGGTTTTATGTCCTAGTCGTTTGGAACATTGGCGACACAAATGACCCGGTACCTATGGTAATACGCGCTGAATCTATTTCTCTTCACCACTTATGGGCCCAAGGTTAAGTTATTGTATTACCGTCTAACACTCTTCGCGATTGAGAATCCGAATTAGGGCAACACTCATAATCGGGTTATTCGTAAATCCCGGTCCATGCAAATGGAGTTTATGGCATGTTTTTTGATTCCAGACGAACTTCTTTTGCGCTCTAGAGTTTTGTTTTGTCAACATTTGCAGTTTGTCTCGCACTTCCCTTTTTTCAATTAGGGAACGAAGTTGGCATTTTACGGTTCCCAAATGGCTTTGAAACTAATGAAGAGTCGTAATTGCAAGCACGAGAATTCAGAAATGTTCCATTCAAAGTATCTACAAAGATTAGATGTACCCTCAAATCATCATCCTACAGAGAATATCCTGTTTTCTGGTTCATATGCATCCTTCTGCTCACCTTCATTAGGTATTTACCAGGTTATTGGTACGTTCATGACGAATGCGATTAATAAACAATGCATGTTCTTTTGACGCCCTCTGATCTGCCGCCTGAAACCTTCTCGATGTTTTTTTTCTGTCTTGCCGATGGATGATCATTAAGGATCACAGGATTTTGTACTTCCGTTCTCGCAAGATAGAGAAAACTATCTAATTGGAAGACTAAGAATATGTGCAATAATAAAATTTAGATGAAATCCGATCATAATGAAATTCACCTATTTATGAAGGTTCTTTTTCCATTGAAGGTGATTCTAATTCAATTGAAAGTTGACCTGAATCAAATCGTTTTTAATTCTTGTTTTAGAACTATTGCACTGCTACCCGTTTTCTTGTAATTTAGGATCCTCATAAATACCAAATTACTTAAAGTATCCCCTAACCTGCAACCACTACAAAAAGAGCTGCCGCGTCATATCTCATTCATCTTCTGCATTCTCTACACTTGACCTAATCCCTCTATTATCTCAGCCAATCTCGAATTTCACAGCATCGTCTTCTCCACGTCGTTCTCTCCAGATGTGGCTACCCGATATGCTTCCGATTTTCATGTCGTTTTGCCGGTCACACATGACTTCTCATCCCATCACTGTGTTCATGTATTCGACTGATGAGAATACGAATAGCTTCAATATAATAGATTCCTCCTCTTTTTTTTCCTTTTCTGGACCGGTCTTTTTGGTTTCCTCTCTCGGGAAGAACATGTCTCCAACGAGCTGCGTCTTTCTGGTCTTGACCGCTCTCTCATCCCCATACCCTCCTTCAATCCGTGTTTACAGACCTTGGAAAAGGCTCGGCGGAGCGCGCACGCACCTCAGTCGTAGAATGCGCCTGTTAATTACGGCAAACATACGTTTCACACTTTATTCTCTTTCTCTTTTCTCCTGTAGTTTTTCCTTTTGAATTTTGTCGTACTATTTCCAAAAGCAAATACGTCGACTGTCCTTTTTCTTTCTCTATCTTTTTTTCCAATTCTATAGATTCATTCCCATACCAGTACATTTGTCGAGGGATTATTGAAGACGTATTATGACGGCCACACCGAGAAGATGTTAATTGGGATCTCCCTGCATCTACTCGTTCTGTTCAGTCTGAATAGCGTCATCATTTAACAAGATTGGTCCTCTTTCTAGTTGCCACAGTTTTTTGTTCTATGTAGACTTTCTACAATCAGATTGATTTAGATTTCGCGCAAACTATAGTTTTTTGATGTGCGAGTTCGCAAATTCGTCAGCTTCCCCTTTCAAAGTTTCCTCTTTATATATTGATGTTTTGTAGTGGCCGTCGAATTTTTGTTGATAGAATAGGAAAAACTTTAAAAAAAAAGCGTTTTTTTCGCCTCCAAAAAGCCAAATTTGTTCCTTCCCGTTGTCACTCTCGCTCCCCTGTCGTAGCGAAAAAGTGAATTTCCGAAAAAACAAAATCAAAAGAGGCCATGATTGATGGCTTTTCAAAGTCTGCTCCGAATCTGTTTTCCTTGTTGTTATTGGTTTTTATATCTATCAGGTAGTAGATTTGAGGTCCAGATAAAGTGTTGTCGTGCAAAGTGGGAGGACATAGATGACGATGGACAATAAAGATAACATTGTTCTGGTCTCTTTTCCTCCCTCCTGTTGTGTCCCCGCTCAACAATACTTTTGCATAATCTCAAATTAATAAACATTTTTCCTTTCCTTTATAGTCATCTCTTCTAGAGGCATTCCCCTGTTCCTTTGGCAGTGTTTAATCCTAAAATAATCCCTTGTTGAAGACATTTGACTTCTAACTTTCTGAACATATATCTTGACCCTGAGCTACTATTACTCTTGTCCGAAATCAATGCACGTTGCGGCCGAGAAAACAACGGTGGGCGGAGCTTAGCTCCCACAGAGAGAACCTTACTGTATTTTTCAAATTATTGCACGCGCCTTTAATACAGTACCTCAACATTTATCGAATTTTCTCAAATTTCTCTCATTTTTTTGCTTGTTTCTGTCTATATTTGTGTAATTCTTATAAATATTTAATTTATTTTTCTTATAAAATAGACAAAACTGCCAAATAGGGCCCAAAATAAAAAACGTCCGAGGTACGGTATTTAAAGGCGCGTGCATCAATTTGTTTTTTCGCTGTGCGATTTCGGACGAGAGTAATACTGTTTTCCAAATCTAAATAATTTTTGAAATTATTCTTTTCAACGTAATTCCTGCGAAACAATATACGGGCATTTTGCTGTCTCCACTGAAAACCCGAAACGAAAAGAAAACTATTTTCGAATTATAAGCAGATGCTTAATTCATTCCATCTGCTTCATTTTGTTTGGAGATGATTTTTATTTATCTAGAAAGCTGCATGATGTCTTATTTTTCTCAGAAAAAACCCCATGAATTCGATCTTCTTCATGTGTCAAATATATAACGAATGTTTTTTTTTCCGACATTTTGGTGTATTCACACACAACCAATGTTTTCGTTCCATTCCGATCGCCACCACGTTCTTCTCCCTTTTCATTTTTTTTGCTACTATTACATTATGTGGAGTTGAAGTAGTAAAGGAAATGATGGATTTACCGTCTGGTAAGCGGGTATCGCTTTTTGCTTACCCACCTCCTTGGCTTTTTGCTCCCTCAAACTAACTCCATCCACTCAACTGTTATAAATCAATCAAACATTTTATTTATATTGTTCAATTCATATTCCCTCTTCCATCTCTCTGTTTCGCTTTTCATCATCAATCCTCAATTCATTTTTTATAGAATTTCGCCCAAACCACTTGCTTCTCCTGTTCCGGCCACTACCTCAAATATGACGACTACATCGTCAGAAGGTAGTTCCGGAGGACCCCATGAAGAAAGTTCAATGACATTGACGTCGTCTACTACAGTAGACCGCAGATGCTCTCAGGATGTGAGAAAACATTCACAACACAAACAGGAAAAGGCGATAGCACATGATCTGGAATGTGCAGCGAAAGGTATATTTTTTTAACCAAAAATATTGAATCTCTCTAAAATGTCTTTTAGATAATTTTTTGGCTCTCTTCCTGCTTCTATTTTCACTTTTCTGTTATTTTTTCTGTTGTAAAATCCTTTCCAACTAGTTTCTGTTGATCCTATCATAGAATTGGGAGTAATAAGGGATAAATGCACTATGACTTGAAAAAACGTTCGATTTGAGACCTCTCCATCTATTTTCGATTACATCAAACGCTTTTTACACATTTCGTATACCATGCTTCGAACAAAAAAGCGTCACATTCACAAAGAACATGCCGGCGCAGAAAAAGAAATGAAACATTTTCGTTATTCGCACCCCATTGCTGGCGACACCAACACATTGACAATTTATTGCGATTGTGTTGGTTAGATTGCGGGAAGTCTGTCTTGTCACTTGAACCAAAGTAATGAATAGTTATATCTAGATGCCAGTGGCGGAAGAATAGAAATGTGATAGGAGGGGGAGG